TAGGGCTGCCACCAATCTGGCGGGATTGAGCACCAAATTGATCTTATTCTGGTGCATCTTTGCCAAACCGTGCGCCATACAGGACAAATCCAGAAGAAACAAAGGAAATTCAGCGACAAGTGCAAGAACTACTAGACAAAGGTTATGTGCGTGAATCTCTTAGTCCTTATGCTGTTCCGAGTAATTTTAGTGCCTAAGAAAGATGGAACCAGGCGTATGTGTGTGTTGATTGTAGGGCTATTAATAATATCACCATTCGATATCGACACCCTATTCCGCGATTAGATGATATGCTTGATGAATTGAGTGGTGCTGTTCTATTTTCAAAAGTTGATTTGCGTAGTGGGTACCACCAGATTCGTATGAAATTGGGAGATGAATGGAAAACGGCTTTTAAAACTAAGTTTGGTTTGTATGAGTGGTTAGTAATGCCTTTTGGGTTAACTAATGCACCTAGTACTTTCATGAGATTAATGAATGAGGTTTTGCGAGCTTTCATTGGGAAATTTGTTGTCGTCTCTACTTTGATGATATACTGATTTACAACAAATCCATGGATGAACACCTTGATCACTTGCGTGCTGTTTTTAATGCTCTACGTGATGCACGTTTATTTGGTAACCTTGAAAAGTGCACTTTTTGCACCGATCGAGTAGCGTTTCTTGGCTATGTTGTTACTCCACAGGGAATTGAGGTTGATAAATCCAAGATTGAAGCTATACAAGGATGGCTTTGTACCCACGACGATCACACAAGTCTTGGAGTTTCCTAGGACTTGCTGGTTTCTATCGCCCGATTTGTGAAAGATTTCAGCACCATTGCTGCACCGTTACATGAACTTACAAAGAAGGGAGTGTCCTTTTCTTGGGGCAAAGCACAAGAGCATTCTTTCCACATGCTAAAAGATAAGTTAACACATGCACCTCTGCTCTAACTTCCCGATTTTAATAAGACTTTTGAACTTGAATGTGATGCTAGTGGAATTGGAATGGGTGGTGTTTTATTGCAAGAAGGAAAACCCGTTGCATATTTTAGTGAGAAACTAAGTGGACCTATGCTGAATTATTCTACTTATGACAAAGAATTGTATGCACTTGCGCCGAACGTTGGAAACATGGCAGCATTATTTGTGGCCTAAAGAATTTGTTATACATTACGATCATGAAACGTTGAAGCATATTCGTAGTCAAGGAAAAGCTGAATCGTAGACATGCTAAGTGGGTTGAATTTATTGAATCTTTCCCTTATGTAATTAAACACAAGAAAGGAAAGAGAGAATGTCATTGCTGATGCTTTGTCTAGGAGATATACTTTGTTGACACAACTTGACTATAAGATCTTTGGTTTGGAAACCATTAAAGAACAATATGTGCATGATGATGATTTTAAGGATGTCTTACTGCAATGTAAAGATGGAAAAGTGTGGAATAAATTTGTTGTGAATGATGGCTTTGTGTTTAGAGCTAACAAGCTATGCATTCCAGCTAGCTCCGTTCGTTTGTTGTTGTTACGAGAAGCGCCTGCGGAGGTGGTTTGATGGGACATTTTGGAGCAAAGAAGACGGAGGACATCCTTGCTGATCATTTCTTTTGGCCAAAGATGCGGAGAGATGTGGAGAGATTTGTCTCTCACGCATTTACATGTCAAAAGGCTAAGTCACGCTTAAATGCACATGGTTTGTATATGCCTCTACACTGTTCCTAATGCTCCTTGGGAAGATATTTCTATGGATTTTGTGTTGAGATTACCAAGGACTAGGAAGGGCCGTGATGATGTTTTTGTGGTTGTGGATAGATTTTCTAAAATGCACACTTTATACCTTGTCATAAAACCGATGATGCCACATATATTGCTGATTTGTTCTTTTCATGAAGTTGTTCGTTTGCATGGTGTGCCAAACACAATTGTTTCTGATCGAGATGTTAAATTTCTTAGCCATATTTGGAGAACTTTATGGGCTAAATTGGGGACTAAACTTTTATTTTCTACCACTTGTCATCCCCAAACTGATAGTCAAACTGAAGTTGTTAATAGAACTTTATCAACTATGTTAAGGGCTGTTTTAAAGAAAAATATTAAGATGTGGGAAGATTGTTTGCCTCATATTGAGTTTGCTTATAATCGTTCAATGCATTCTACAACAAAGATGTGTCCATTTGAGATTGTTTATGGCTTGTTACCACGTGCTCCTATTGATTTAATGCCTTTGCCAACTTCAGGAAATTTAAATTTTGATGCTAAACAACGAGCTGAATTAATGTTGAAACTACATGAAACAACTAAACAAAACATAGAGCGTATGAATGCTAAATATAAGTTTGCTGGTGATAAAGGTCGAAAAGCAATAAATTTTGAACCTGGAGATTTGGTTTGGTTGCATTTGAGAAAGGAGAGGTTTCCTGCATTGAGAAAGTCTAAATTGATGCCTAGAGCTGATGGACCATTTAGGGTATTACAACGGATTAATGAGAATGCATATAAACTTGATCTTCCAGCAGATTTTGGGGTTAGTCCCACATTTAACATTGCAGATTTAAAGCCATATTTGGGTGAGGAAGATGAGCTTGAGTCGAGGACGACTCAAATGCAAGAAGGGGAGGATGATGAGGACATCAACACCGACGACGCATCCGCGCCGACACCAGTACCTATCGCTGGTCCTCTTACTCGTGCTCGTGCTCGTAAAATTAATTATCAAGTGAGTTGCCTCTTGAGCTCCTGTCCATCTTGTTTAGATCTTGGAAACGCGTGCACTCTTGTTTTGATTAGGAACCAAGGAGAAGACCGAAAGGGAGAAGGATTCGCGATGGCTGGATTCAGACTGCAGAAAGGCACCAACTTGTGACCATCACCACGGTTGCATACGGAGTCGGATTCGGGCGCTTTAGGACTTGTTGGAAAGCTTATCAAGTCTACTTTCATATGGAACCAGTTCCACGTCCATATCTGTTCGGCAGCATCGGCAATTATTCAATTACCGTCGAGAGGTCTTTATGTCTAGGGTGCTGCGTCACCTTATTTTAGTCCGATGGGCTGTGTATCGTCTTAGGGTCCACTAGGGACGTGTCTTAGGGTTGGAGTACGACCCAAACACCTTGTTGGTCGTCCACCCCATGTTATATACCCTTTGGCCGCCGCCAAGACACTCGGGTTTTGTTTAGATCAAGTTTAGCCTTTGCTACTTGCTTGTAGGCGCGCGTGCTGATCCAGCCGCCCGTCTCCTTGTCTTCGGAACCCCACTCATAATAAGATTCAGTTTGAGGTTTTCAATTTCATCTTGCAAATTCAGTGCTTGTTTCCTTGTTCTTGCTAGTTCTTCGATTGCTTGCAGGACGGGAGCCCTAGTGGCTGGTTGTCGCGCTCCACAAGATCGTGACGGCCTTTGGAGGTGGTGTATCGGTTGCTAAGGCGCAGTCTTGGAAGGCTGTAGTCGGGCCGTGAACGTCATCTCCATCCACCAAATCGAGTTATCTCACGCCTCTCATCGAAAGATCGTCCACAAACCCTAGCGGGTTTTTATCAATGTCCTAGTCCACAACATGCTCAACAAATGCCCTAGGCTAGAGTTGTCACATGGAGACCAGTCACCATGCGATATCAATGCTTAAAGTTTACAACAATGTGGGGTATGAACTTGGAACGACCCAACTGTCGTTCCAAATTTAAACTTTTCAAAAAAAAAATCCCTTGGAAGCTCTAACCCCATCCCCAACTCCCTTGGTCCATAATGTGAACCTCTTTCCACCACAAGCCTCATGTTGATCATGTCCCATGGCATCTCTCTTTTGTTTCTCTCCTGCAATGAATACCCTCGGACAAAGTGACAAACGTAGTTGGTTCCAAATCCAAAATTATTGACTTGACTTGGTACATATGCAGTGAGTGATGACACGACAACTTGCAAGTTGCAACCATTTAATTAGGTTCACATCACATGGAGATGGAGCCGTTCGAATACATAATTGCAGACCAACTGATAATACTCTTGTCTACTTATCCTGTCAGTGGACGTATAGCACCTCTACAGCTCTTCACCTGTACTGCTATTGTTCCGCTGACAGAGCACAACTCACCAATTGACGTAGTAAACACCGTTGTCATGTGTGGCGCCATAGACAGCATCTCAAGTTCTCCTTTCCCACTCGAAATAGACATGTGCCCTCATGCATTGGTCTGTGTATTATTACACTATGACTGTACACGACATGTAGGTTGTACAGATCCAGGTGTGATCGGTCATCGATCTTGTAGATTAGCGGGCTAGCGGTAGCATCCTAGCAAGCAGTTATGCTAAATCGGTGGCCAACGAAATAAGAAAAACTTTTATTCCTACAGTACACACTTGGAACAAATAACAATGCATCCGAACAATTAACATGCCTCCCACCTTCCATTTTTGCATTAGAAACGGATCCATATCATTCTGGCAAGTTGAGAAAGTTCATGACAAAAACAAACTACAGTGTTGATGCTTTTATGTTACACCATGATGGGCTCACTGTCAACAGTACGTCAACCACCATTAGACTTAAGCAGCAAAGTTACTACCAATACTAAATACTCAGACAATAATATATTTTGATGAAAATTTGCAACTAAAAGAACAATAAAGCCATGTACAGAACACTATAAAAGGAGCAAAGAGAAAACTCAGGATACAGTTGGTATTATCATTACACAAAATTACAAAACGATTACTAAGTCAAATCCGTAAACATGCACACAAGAGAGCATTCTTTATGAAGATACATAAGCTCAAGCTCAACGTTTTGGGTACAAAGTAAATGAACTGAACTGAATCTGTCTTCTCCTAGCGATGTTTCACATAGGATAAGTGCCAATTATCTTGATATCTTGAAGGAAGCAGATGTTCCAGTTTCCACTGGCATGACAGATGTATTGCAGATCTGGATCACTGAATCAAGTTGTAGGGAAAAGAAAGAAAAATAAATGAACAGAGTTTTGTAGATGCCTGGGGCGACACATTGATCACTGTGAGCTCAGCATCCTTCCAGTTCCTCCAGCTTCACAGGAGGTTCCCTTGGATGCTCCTTCAGTTGCTTCTCCATGTCATCCTTGAGTGCAGTGTCATGGGAACCAATAAGCCGTACTTCCTTGAGTTTTTGTTTAGAGAGATTCTTTATCTCCATAAAGTTCAATGTAGACCCACTACAGCAGCGAGCTGTCAGCAGCTCAAGATTTTGCATTGCTTCTGATCCAAAGGATATATTTAACTTTGAGCTGCAAGTAATCTCGAGGATCTTGAGGTTTAAATAACAGCGCTGCTGTATTCCATTCACAAACAATATTATATTTAGATGAAAATTTGCGACTAATAAGAACAATAAAGCCATCTAAAGAACATTACAAAAGGAGCAAAGAGAAAAATCAGGATTCAGTTGGTATTATCGTTACACAAAATTACAAAACGATTACAACACCAACGTAAAAGTCAAATCCATAAACATGCACACAAGCAAGAGAGCATTCTTTATGAAGATACATAAGCTCAAGCTCAACGTTTCGAGTACAGAGTAAATGAACTGAACTGAATATGTCTTCTCCTAGCGATGTTACACATAGGATAAGTGCCAATTATCTTAACACCTTGAAGGAAGCAGATGTTTCAGTTTCCACTAGCATGAAGGATGTATTGCAGTACTGGATCAATTGGCAGGGAAAACAAAGAAAAATAAGTGAACAGAGTTCTGTAGATGCCTGGGACGACACATTGATCACTGTGAGCTCACCGTCCTTCCAGTTCCTCCAGCTTCAAAGGAGGATTCCTTGGATGCTCCTCTAGTTGCTTCTCAATGTCATCCATGAGTGCAGTGTCATGGGAACTGATAAGCCGGACTTCCTTGAGTTTTTGTTTAGAGAGATTCTTTATCTCCATAAATTTCAATGTTGACCCACTACAGCAGCGAGCTGTCAGCAGCTCAAGATTTTGCATTGCTTCTGATCCAAAGGATATATTTAACTTTGAGCTGCAAGTAATCTCGAGGATCTTGAAGTTTAAATAGCAGCGCTGCTGTATTCCATTCACCCAGACACAAAAATCAAGCTTGCCATCAGCATCTTGAAGAGGCTTGACACAAAGACGTAGAATACATAATTCTTTTATTTCCCCAAGAACATTAATTACTTCAACTTCTTCTGACATGGTTATCTCCAGTTCCAACTTTGTGAGTTTCGGAAGATCTATGATCCATGACGGCACTTGTTTTACAAGACCTCGTAGCTTAAGGCTCTGAAGGTTCCCTAGAGGTTTCCCCTGAGTCTTCTGCTGAGGCTTCTCCTGGGCCTTATGCTGAGGCTTCTCCAGACCCTTCCCCTGGGGCTGCTGCTGAATTTTCTCTAGAGGCTTCTCCAGATGCAAGGAAATGTCATCCAAACATTCTTCATTGCCCTTGCTGAGCCACACTGACAAGGATTCCAGACGGACACGGCATGCAATGGCAGCACAGAACTCCGTGCAGTTTTTCTTCTTGACACCGAACACTCCAAGCTTGCGCAATTTGGTAATCTTCTTGAGCTCTTTGAGGGAGTCTTTGCCCCCTGCAAGACCAGCATTGACAACACCAAGCGTGTGCAAAACAGTCAGCTTGTCAATACCTACTGGCACCTCAACACCAACTAATTTATGAGATCTGCATGGTGTTGATGGTTCCCCTGCTGGGAAAGTTGTGCCAGCACGAATGTACTGCAGTTTCTTTAACTTGGTGATAGATGCTGGCAAGGTAACTATGGAGGTATGCCTGACATCCAGAGTCTCAAGCTGCCGTAACTCACCCAATGAACTCGGCAGATGGCGGATCCCACTGCTTCCTCGCAGAGATAGAAACTTGAGACGAGGAAGAAGCTTCACCATTAGCTTCAGATCTTTATCTGTCACACCTGTTGCATTCTCCAGATCGAGCACTCGAAGCACCTTCATACTTTTAGAGATGAAGAATGATTCCCACTCCCCAAACACTGTTAATGACCGTAGACGTGAAAAATCAATGCTTTCAAACACAATCCTGTCTCTGTCCCAGCTGCTCTCTATTACAAGGTGGCGCCCTGTGCGCCGGGTGGTTGGAAGGCAACGCCCCTTCAGTGCAAAGACCTCCAGTGCAAATATAATATTCTCTTCGTCTGGACGTGAGATGATGTATTTGTGGAAGAAAGCACTGACTTGGCATCGGATCATTCTCATGTGTGTGATGTCTTTGCACATTGGTGGCTGGATCATGCTCAGGTTGACGAGCATTGAGAAGAGGATCTCCCCTTTCTCCTCTGCAGTAGTGTCTTTAGTGTCCCTGAAGTAGCCCTCAGCAACCCATAGCATCACCAAACGCCTCCGCCGAATGATTTGGGACCCAGGGAATATTACATGGCCTTAGGAAATCTGGGCATGTACGGAAGTAGGAATGCATCCAACCAAACAGATCTCTCAGACCATGAAACTCAGGGTTGCTCTCTAGCTCGTGCATAAATCTGCGATTAAGCGTTCTAGTGCTCTCCATACATGTGACTGTCTTGGGTGCCAAAAACTTGGCTACAGCAACTATTACTTTAGGAAGTCTACCACACTTCACAATAGGTTGTTCTAGCTCTTTGTCATCTGAATTCTTTAGAGGTGATGCCAGGTTTTTATTTTGTACCTGTTGTAAAGAAATTTGAATGATCTTAGTCATTTTGGTAAACACAAAATAAATTTGGTATTATTTGTGTCATATAAAATGAATTTTCATGATGAATTGCGCTTGATACATTAGAAAGGCCAATGGAACACGAAACAAAAATAAAATGGTCAAGTGAGGAAACATAGAATTATCTAAAGACTATAAGAATCCTAAAAAATATTATATGCATGACACGGCCAACATAAATGTTTTGTAGCTATGTGATCAATCATAGTAAAAATAATTTGGCCCCACATATACATGTGTACCATTGGGTAGATTATTAGTAAAATAATTTGGCCACACAGGATGATGACACGCCTATTTGTTTCTCAAAATTATTTGAATAAGTGCACTGGATTATAAATGCTTGATTAATTGAGAAGCACATGTCAATATCCCAAGCAGGAGCATGGTTAAGAGTATACATAATCCTTTACATCATGATGTCCTTCCTAAAAACCATACATGAATCCCATGTTAAGGAAAACAAAGCTTTGTAAAGTAAAGTAACAACTTGTGAAATGGAGAACTAATCTTAACACTTTGAAGAACAGATACATGGTTCACCTCCTAAATGTCTGTCTGAGCTCTGTATTGTGTTGTGAAATCAATGAACAGAACAGTTTGTGTTCCACTACCAACTAGTAGTACGGTGTACAGTAAAAGGTGCTCTCCAGATTAGTAGTTCCAAATAACAATCTATTTGTTAGACATTATTGTTGGAAAGAAATTGATGCAGAAAATTGAAACACAAGTGGCAGATTTCAGACAAACTTATGAGCTTTATGGTGCAAAAGCATATCATCCCTTGGCAGACAATAAACCTAAGAAAAAGATAGAGCACCCTGTTTTGATTTACTCTCCTACAGTGCCGGTCCTATGATTTTGAGGACCCTCTTGCGAACTCGTCGCTACGGCCCTCTAGATCATGTATACAATCTTATCTTAAAATATATATAGACGCTAATTTTACTTGTAAAACGAAAACAAATCCAATGATATGTACAGGCACAACACTGCTAGAAGCAAAAAAAAAAAACTTATGTATAACACCTTTTTGTGATTGAACAAATTGATTTTCTTGTCTTTTTCGTTTTCTTTTCTCAGCCCCCGACAATTGTTTCTTAGATAACATTCTAAAATTCTAACACCTCGTCAGAGTACTAGAAGTCTGAAATACAATACAAATAATTAATTTAGAATAAAAAACAAACAAGGAAAAAAATACCTAGGGCCTGGACTTTGATGAACTAATCGGCTAAAATTCAATAAAAATAATTAATTTGGATTAAAAACGATCAAGGAAAAAATACCAAGGGTCTGGACTCTAATGAACTGATCGACTGATCAGGATCGCAAAACCGCAAGAAGTCAATGTTGTTGAGCCTGGTTGCCGCCGGCCCACCACCGTGTCCGTGTCTCCATTGCGGCGCGACTCTTCCTCTCCGAGTCACAGTCTCGCGGACGTACGTCACAGTTTCTCGGCTGCTCGCGTGGCCACGTGGGGAAGCTGCAAAGAATAGAAAGGCCGACGTTTGCTAATGGATTTTGGACTATAGGGTTTGGGGAATTGTATACCTAGGCTTGGGCCCCTCCTTCGCCTAGGCCCTCGGCCGTCGCACCCCGTGCCCCTCCCCTAGGGCCAGCACTGCTCTCCTACATGCTATACTTCTGGGCAAACTAATTGCAGTTTCATACTTCCACTAGATAGATTACTTGGAACTGTTGGGTGAAACATGTTTGGAATTGTTGGCAATATGATAGAAAAAACCATCTGCATTCCTCAGCATTGCGTGGACTAAGTTTAATTTTTTTACTATTTTTGCAAACAACATTCAAACTCCTGTAAAATGGCAAACCATCTATCTAGGATGCAGCCGTGAATAAAAGATTATTGAGTATCGACCAACATGATATGGATGAGATTGTAATCACTCCTTATTTCTTAATGTCCGTAACTGTGGGTGAATGAGAAACAACTGGTAGTTGCGAATGAGATGCTATGTTTGTGGTAAGACTCAAGCAGGACAATAGATTCAAGTATCTAGAAAACATGAATGTTTCTTATGATTAAGAATACCTCTTTTCTGAAGAGATCCAAGGATGCTTGAGCTTCTAGGCCCTTCACGTTAAACACAACCTCTTCATTCTCTGCACAATATGTAGCAATGCTTTCTTCGGTTGTGATGACAACGATAACACTCTTGGAATGTCTAGATACCAGGGAAGGTTGTATTAAATCCCATTCTTCTGTAGACTGTACATCATCAATAACAACAAGACACGGATGTTCTTTTAGAAGCTTATGGCATTCCTGAATAGGGTCTTCGATTCCCAAGGTTTCAATAGGTTCTGAATGAAAATCCAAAACTAAGCTCCGAGAGAAGTCCCTCAGATTGAATGGATGGGATACCAGAACCCAACCATACTTGTTAAATATTGGGTCCTTTTGAAGCATTCTTTCATAATACAAATTTCTGACTAGAACTGATTTCCCAACACCTGCTACCCCACACACAGACATCACTTGCCAATCATTGAAACGTGCTGTGGTCTGATAGTTACGAAGTTCATTCATTTGTGACTCACGTCCAAAAAGGCTAAACTGGTCAAACCAGCTAATGGCTACATCCTTTCTTGAGGTCGGAATCCTGTGATAGGAAGTAAGACCTCCCCCGTGATTCACTTCATCCTCCATTAATATCTCATTGTTGCTTGACATTACTCTTCCAGTCTCCTTGCCCTGAGGACCCTGAAAATACGAAGCAGTTAAGGAGAGAAAGGAGGAATCCAAGAGTTACTAGGAGAGATTTGGAGTTTTGGACAGAACAACTAAAAATTATAATATAATTCCTAACCCAGTTCTCATATTTTCTCGAGATTAGATCTATCTTTGATAGATTGAAGTGTTTCTTGAATTTCATGCAATAGACTGAGAAAATATATTAAGTACAAAGAATCTATAAACTAGTCACTTGTCAAGTAGATAGCAGTCGTTTAATTTTCTTTACAGGCAACTATTTTAAAATTTAAAATTATTAAATAATCTCGGATGTTGATATGGTCTATTTGAAAGTTATAGTTCTCAATACGATCTACAACTTTGTAGTTGAAATGATTTTTTTAGAAGTCGTTTAGTGTCTCAAATATATGTTCTAAGTTTTTTTTGTTTCAAAATCTATAAACTTAGAACACATATTTAGGACACTAGACGACTTTAAATGAAAACTTTTCAACCACAAAGTTGTAAAATCATATTGAAAACTGTAATTTTCATATAGACCATGTCAATATCTGAGATTGTTTGATAATTTTAAATTTCAATTTCAAAATCTGTGAAATTACAACAATATTTTGGGACCCTAAACAATTTCAATTAAAAAACATTTCAGCTACAAAGTTGTAGATCTCGTCGAGAGCTGCAATTTTTATATAAAATTTGTCTTCACCCGAGTTCATATGAAAAGTTATAATTGTTTTCTGGAAAAGTCAGAATGCCACGTCAGTGTATAGAGTGGGTTAGCCCCATTTGGACTCGGATGAGATTCAAAACCAAGTTTAGGGTCTCTAATGACACCACTAGCCAAGTTTAGGGACCGACGATGATCACCATAGAAGTTAATGGACTGGAACGACACCGTTGGCCAAGTTTAGGGATCCACATATATCACTTTGAAAGTTCAAGGACTAGGATGACATCGTCGGCCAAGCTTAAGGACCGACGGTGAATTTTACTCTTTCACCAGAGTACTCTACTTGCACGATACTCATACTGTAGATCGTTTTTCTGTTTTGGCTGTTTTTCCACCTTTTCAATTTCCTTATTAATATTTTGTATCTTCTCGGCAACCACTAATGGAGAGAGAGACTATTGGGTTCTAAGAGCATCTTCAAGAGTACCCAAAACACTCTCCCAATCCGGGATTTACTGGCACGCTCAAAGGGCACGCGAAGGTGATCCTGTGTCGGGCGGCGGCCGGGGAGGTGGTGTGTAATGGCGGCACGCGCGATCTCACGCAAAATAAAACCTGCCGTCGCAGTGGAAGTTGTGTGGGACCAAGTTTTTTTATATTTTTAAGGAGTGATTTTTTGTAAACTGTTGGAGAAACTATTCTTTACTGGTTGGTGCTCCGAAAATTTTTTGGTGACTTAGAAAACTTAATGGTTTGGGAATAAATTTGGTACTCTTGGAGATGCTCTTAAGTTACCAGCAAAGCCAGCCTAACCTTACCAGCTTCTGTGAGGCTTAGAGCAAGGAATTTCTCACTAGCACAAACCTTTAAGGAAAGCTGGGCTACCAACTATTTTTTTTTCAAGGTTTTGTGTCATCTCGATGTAATATTTTTAAAAACAATAATGAAATTCTTCTTTATCAAAAAAAAAAAGACAAGATGAGGTGGAAGAGCTAGGATCAAGCTTTGCTGTCTCCAAGCATTTGTAACATGTCTACATTGTTGATTTTATTTAATTGTGAAGTAACATGTTATATGGTGGTATGAAACCGTGTTTTCCAAGAATTGATTTCAAACCTCTTTTTGTCGACTTATATTGTTTTCTAGTTTTTCGAGTGCTCATCGAGCGGGCATGCAGTCAGCTTCAATTTAGACATGGCGATGTCGTCTTATATTGTTTTTACTTTTTTCCACTATCGAGTGATCATTGAGCGGCCATGCGGCCAGCTCCAATTCAGACATAGCTGTTCACAGCCAGCTCAAATGTCTAGAATCTAGTTCGAGGACAAGGCACATAGTTTTCTTGGCCAGGTTTTTGCTGGTTCAATGTGCATAATGCGTGGCGGGGAAAAAACTCTACTTACTATAACAATAGAGATCGATACCCTCTTTAACCACACAAAAATCAAAAGAAAGATGAAGACCACATCCACCACTCAAATAAAATTATGTCCACTCAAATAAAATTATGTTATACATTTATTGTCACGCCATAAGTATTTTCTACAAACAAACACTAATAAAACTAATAGTGTTTATGCGTCACAATAGTTATTA